AACTAGACTGAAGAACAAAAGGACAGCAACTTGTCTGTTCCCCTCCCCCAATTCCCCAATAAAATCTTTAAAAAATAAAAAATTACAGAGGCCTGTGCTAGGTAATTATAGGAACATTCTTGGGCTACAATGGCGTATTTCTTGGGAAATTTAGAGCACTATTACTTTGAAGTATTCCATAAAGAGTACTTAGAAATTGCTAGAAAAATCCATAGACATTCTTGGGGGTACTGCTAGATCATTCTGGAATATTGGTAGAGCAATACTGCCCTATTAGACAGCTGTGGAGCTCACCACAGAGTACTGGGGTTCCCCGGGGCACGTCTAGAGCAGTACTGAGGTATTAAAAGTAATTTCAGGGCCTTCCTGAATTGCTCTGAGAAACACCGAAGAAGCCACCAACTCCCTCCTGCCCAGACCCACACACACACACACACACACACACAAAACCCCTCCACCCCCCACCCCCATCCCCGACCCCACCGCCCTGAGCCAGCACCTGCGCAGAGTGCTCCTGCATCCTCGTGGTGGCCGCAGTTGTGCACGCCCCAGCCCAGGCTCAGGCAAGCTGCCAGGCGAGGCTCGCTACCTTCACAGTGCACGTTGTCCAGCAGGATGTGACCCGTGCCATAGCCGAAGAAAGCGTTAGTGGTGGCAGCCAGGGCTTCCCCGCAGCCCAGCTGGCGGCAGACCACGGTGGCGTCTGGCAGTCCCCAGTCATCGTCACACACTGTGCCCCACAGTCCGCTGTGCAGGATCTCCACTCGGCCTTGACAAGGGCCCGCACCCCCCACCAGGCGCACGCTGCCCTCACCTGGTGACCACGGGGGTGAGGGAAGGCAAGGAGCAAAGAGCAAATCCCACAGGGCTCTGCCTCCCATCCCTTCCTAATCGAATGGGCTTCCACGATGCCCCAGGCCCGCCATATACCCACACTGCATGTTGCCCAGGACCTAAAACCCAGGAGGAGCTAGCTACTAGCACCCTCAAGGCACTGCCTTCCACAGCCCAGATTGGGGGTGGTTTGTGGGACCAGAGAACAGATTGTTTCATTGTATCACTTCCTCCTTAAAAGCAACCTTCCCTGCCCTTGCCAATGCTCTCCTAAGCGTCTAGGTTGTGCTGCGTCCTCATTTAAGACTGCAGTGAAAACTTTCTCACCTTGCCAGGTGCAGCACCAACAACTCTTCCTCCAGGAAGCCCTCCCTGATCTCTGAAGGATTGGACCCCCTTTCTCCTCTGGACTTCCTTGCCTTTTCTGTCCCTCTTTTAGGGTACTTTTCATTGTCTTGTTCTACATCGTTATCAGCATTTCTGTGCATATCTGACTCTCCCATTAGATTAAGCTCCAGCCTTCACCTCTCTCACTTTCTCTAACCTTATGCTGACTACTTTTAATCATTGCACAGGAATTAATCTTCCTTCCCTATGCAGATGGAGAGCGGCCTGAGGGAGTGCAGGGAGCAGAGTGGTGAAGGGGAATGACCAAACTCACCCATCGGTAATCCTTCTCTTCCCACCACCTAGGGTAGATATGGGAAACTCTTCTCTGGGGCCCTCTCCTAAGACTCAGGTGGTCCCCCACATTGCTCTTACTTACCTCTCCCATTCGGGGGAGTTGTAGAGGGCACCCTACTGGTTAACACTTTCCTCGTTGGGGGCTGCGTCGGCAAGAACTCTGGGAAGGAATCAGGGTGGAAGGGAGGAGGACACATGGGTCTTTCTGTTCTTCATCCTCACCCCCACAGACATGTGAGTGGCAGGGCATGGATTCCTAAGGTACCTGCCCCTCAAGATCTCGGGCTACACAAATGGTCTCAGCAAGGAACCCTGGGGTTAAGAGAGGGGAAAGGGCCCCTCGAGTCCAGAAAGCAGTGGCTCTAGAGGAGTTCTTTTAGTTCTTAAAGCAGCATCACATCTCTTGTCAGAACGGTAAATTCTGAGGCCCCACCCCAGATCTGCAGAACCAGAAACTCTAGGAGGGAGCCACAATCTGTGTTTTAATGAATCTTCCAGGTGATTTTCTTGAAAACTAAAAACACTGCTCTTAAAGTCAAAGCCTCTCAGAGCTTTCTGCTTCAGTTCTATGCCAGGTGGACCTTACAGCCAGTGTTGACCCCAATCATCTGGTTTTAAAAATGGGAAGGGGGCTCTGCTGGGATAATCAAGGTCCTGCATGGAAGGAGTAATGCAGGTTTTAGGCCAAGGTCACACAGTGAGCCAGAAGCACCAATGAGGCCCAGGGCTCCTGACAGCCAGCCTGGGGCTCTTCCCCAGCACCATGCAATGCAGCCATTGGTTTGGTTTTCTACAGGGAACAGTGTTACTGCTGGGAGGTCCCTTTATTTATCTAGCCTTCAGCCCTGCTGCCTGCCACAGTCTGTCTGCCCTCCTAGATCACAGGCCTATGCTCACCATCGCACAGGACGGCCACGTCCTCGTAGTGAAAGCAGTTGTGGACTCCCCAGCCTCGGCTGCCACACTCGCTTAGAGCAGCTTCCTGCCCACGGCACTCCACGTTGTCCAGCAGGATGGGGCCTCGGCCCTGGCCAAAGGCGAGGGGCCGCGGCACGGGCAGTGCCAGGCCACAGCCCAGCTGACGACACACCACATTGGCGTCCACCACGTCCCAGTCATCGTCACAGACGCTGCCCCAGGAGCCACCATGCAGGACCTCCAAGCGCCCCCGGCAGCGGCTCGGACCCCCCACCAGCCTCAGCTCTGTGGAGAGGGTTGAGCTGGCACCAGGGGGTCCAACCTACAGGATGCCCACCTTGCCATGAGGAAGTGGGAGCCTTGGGAACAATCCCTTTTAGGTTTTATTTCTCCCTTTCTATAAAATGGGAATACTGGTACAATCCTTTGGGGGCATCTAGAGAAACACAGGTATTCTGTCTGAGCATCTGAGTACCTGGGGTCAGGACAGGGTGAAGGAGGGAGGAGCAGGGGCACCTACCTGGAAAGGGCAGTGAAGTGGGCTGTAGGGCACTGGCTGAAACAGAGTGAGGAGAGCATTGGCCCCTCTGCCTCCCCCACCCCTTGGCTACCTGGCCCCAGGAGCACAACCTCTCCTCCCACCAGGGTCCTTACCATTATCCCCGCCTCTTTACTACACCTGCTTTCCCGAAACCTCATCATCTCTTTCCCTGACTGACCCAATTGGCCTCCTTGCTTCACCCCTCTCCCATGGGTCCGAGGGCCACCCCAGAGAGATCTGCCTGAGACACAGATCTGTTTATCCCACTCCACTGCGGAATTGCTCAAAGACTCTCCATTTCTTGCAGGAGTCCCATCCCTGAGCTTTCCCTACAAAGCCTTCCCTGACCAGCCTTACCTTATTTCTTAATCTCCCATCAGTCTTGTCTCTAGGACTTGAACCCTTCTCCTCTGCCTGAACAAGTCTGGCTACTCCTGCTCATGACAGCCCTACAGCTCCTTCAAGACCCAGCTTGGAGCCCCCTCCTCCAGGTAGCCTTTCTGAAGCCCTCAGCTAGAAGTACTCTCTATTCTTCTGAATCCCTGGGCACCATATACATGCCCCTTTCCAGGACTTCTGCCTGGTGATGTGGCCATGCCTGTCTCATCTTGGTGTCCCCCAGGGTTCCCTGCCCAGAGCCTGTTACTCAGCAGATGCTCAGTAGCTTTGCCTTAAATGTGTATGAAGATGTGACAATTAAGTTTGCAAACTTTGTTGCAACGACATTGCTAACCTTTTTTGATATCGGAGGGATTATTCATAATGAATTTGTACCAACTGGACAAACAGTTAACCAACTTTACTATTTGGAAGTGCTGAAAAGGTTGCGTAAAAAAGTTAGACAAGGGCCGCCCGAGTGGCTCAGTTGGTTAAGAGCTCGCTCAAGAATTTGAGCTCTGAGCAACAGTGGTTTGAGTCCCAGCTCGAGCTGAGCAGCCGCTGAGCTGCCAACAGGTGGCAGGATGGCTCAGCTTAAAAAAAAAAAAATTAGACAACCTGAACTTTTTGCCAACAATTCATGGCTCCCGCATCACGCCATGCACCAGCTCACATGGCACTATCTGTGAGGGAGATTTTAGCCATTAAACAAATAACTGTATTGGAACACCTTCCCTACTCACCTGATCTGGCCCCCAATGGCTTCTTTCTTTACCCAAAGATAAAGGAAATATTGAAAGGAAGACATTTTGATGACATTCAGGACATCAAGGGTAATACAATGAGAGCTCTGATGGTCATTCCAGAAAAAAAATTGCTTTGAAGGGTGGATTAGGCACTGGTGTCAATGAAAAGCTTCCCAAGGGGAGTACTTCGAAGGTGACCATAATGATATTCAGCAATGAGGTATGTAGCACTTTTTCTAGGATGAGTTTGCAAACTTAATTGTCAGACCTTGTGAACTGGCTTTGAGATTTATTATGATTTCCCCCAAAAGCTTTACCTAGATGAGTCCTTCTGCTTCACCTCTCATGTACATACATACCAGACACTGTGCTTACTGCTTTATGTAGCCTGGCTCACTTAATCATTAGGAAAACTTATAAGGTAGGTAGGATTTTGCAGATGGGGAAATTTCAGATTTAGTGAGATTAGGCAACTTGCTTAAGGCCAGATTACAAAGGGTAGAACTGGTATTCCAACCCAAATAGTCATACTCTTCTTCACCATACAATTCTGAGTATGTGGTCTGGGAGGTGAGGAGGAAGCAGGGAAACTGGCCCTGCATGGGAAATTGAAAACTCCATAATAGCCCCTCACGTGTGCACAGGGTATTACTTACTGTACTCAGACACTTTCACCTACATCACCTCAGAGAATCCTTACAACAAAGCTCTGAAGCATGTACTAGAGTACCCGTATTTTACAGATGAAGAAACTGATATTCATTGATTCCTTTTTAAGTTAGGATAATCCCATGGTCATTTGATTCATCTATTCTACCAGCTGCCTTTTCAATAGCCATTGGTAAGCCCACCTACTTTCCTTCCTTCCCTGTTTCCAGTGTCCCCTAACTGCCCACACTCCAGGTACATTGAGCCCTTACCTCCAGCACTGAGCCCTCCCCCAACTCAGACCCTTAGCTTTCATCAACCTTGGACAAATGTCAGAGCTGAAAAAATGCTGGAAACCACCTCATTTACAAACCACCTCCCACCATAATTTTACAGCTGGGAAAACTGAGATCCAGAAAGGGGAATGGTTGGGGGTTGGGATTTAGCACTCACCCAGTGGCAAGAGGAGGAGAAAGGACAGGGCAGGGGGGAGGGGTGCAGGGGCAGTGCTCCTGTCTCCGGGCCTCCACCCCCTGCTCTCCTCATCTGGCTGGGTACCAATTCTCATCTCCGCTTCCTTGTACATCCAGCCAGTCAATGGCATTTCTGATGGTTCCATCAAGGGGACAGTGGAGAAGTTACAGCTGGAACATCTGGAATTAAAGATCCCAAGTCACTTTTTCCAGCTGGAAGGGCCCCATGAGAGCTTCAGGGGGAGGTGACATTTCTACTTGGCTTTGCCATGCTGAGTGGAGACAGCAGAAGGAGCAACAGCTGGGAGATGAGAAGGACAGGATCGCAAACTGAAGCTAATGAGGAGTCAGGTCTGGCTAGAGCAGAGAGTGTGAAAGCGAGTGGTGGGAGATGAGGTTGGAGGGTTGGCTGAGCCCAAACCCAGACAGGTCCACGTGGCTGTGCGGGAGGTTCAGAGTTTATTCTAGACGGAGGACACTGTATCCCAAAGGGTGATCTTGGTGCCACTGGGGGCAAGCGACATACATTTAGGGGGAGATAGATAAAGATTTATTATTTTATTTTCATTCCTTTTTTTTTTTACAGTGCCTTTTTATGGAAAAGGATCCTGATTTTCCATTTACTGGAACAATATAAAGTTGCCCTTTAAAGTTAATTTAAATCAGAAGAAATGAGTCAATTTAAAGAAAAAAACATCAAGGAAATATAATTCAATGACTCACAAATATGCAAAAATGGTGAAGGGCTGGGACAGTAAATGCTATTTGGGATGCTCTGACTTTTTGGGGTGGGAAGCCATTGAGGATTTTTTTGTTAAATTTCACATTGAGGTACACAAACAAAAAAAATGCATTAATCATAAGTGTAGAGCTCAGTGAACATTTGCACCATGTAACCAGCACCCCCAGAAGTGCCCCCCTGCTCCCTTTCCTCACCAACTAAAGGGGGGGTCGCTGGTTCAGGGGATGGTTCTGTTTGGGACACATTGAGAGTATGGGGACATGGGTACCCCTCCCAGCACCCCCCACCTGTCCCTGGCTGTGCCTTCCCCCTGGCATACAAACAGTCTGGTTGGGGAGAGGATGAAAACCTATCTGGATGTGGACACAGGGTTTTCAATACCCTATTCATGGGGCCTAGGACAGCCCCCAGTGGAATAATCAGCTTTTGTCCTCTCTCTGCCTGGCCTGGGGACAGCTGGGAGATGGGAGTTGTGAGGAGGGGGAGCCACAGTCCAATCTTTGCTGAGGGGGCTCCGTAGTTGATCTGAGCCTGACCCCCCTTCCTGGGACTTGGGCCACCCACCATTCAGGCTGCTGGGACACTGGCCCCCAGGTCAGGCCCCACAATATGAGTATGTGGACACACAGCTTCCAGGGAACCTAGCTGGGAAGCCTGAGGTCTCCCCACTGTATCCCTGCCACCCCAGCCCAGTAGTGAGGAAGAAGCACCCTTGATCCTGATCCCCGCTGACCTCAAGTCCCAGCTGACCCAAGAGCTCCCAGTGGACCTTGTGGAGCCTGCTACCTCCAGCTCCAAACCTGGCCCTACGCCTGCTCCTGCCTCACTCCCTGGGAACCTTGGTCAAAATGAAGCTTAACCATTCCCTGCCCCCCCATGAAGCTAGCTCTCTAAAGCGTTCCCACTCCCTCCCCATCCTGTATTAGTGCACCTTTTGCCTTGATCTGTCTCTTTAAGTGCAGTGGGGCAGGCAGCATAACACAGTGGTTAGAAGCATCAGTGTGACCTCACCTCACTAAGCCTCCCTGTCCTCATCTGTAAAATGGAATTAGTAATACACTTACATCTTGTTGCTAGGCTAAATAAACTAAAGTTTATAAAAGGTTTAGCCCAATGCCTGACCCACTGTAAGTGTGGTAGTTATTGTTATTATTATTACTGTCTCCCTGTCTAGACTGTGAACTCTTGATGGCAAGAACCAGATCTTATTCAGTGGTAGCACCTGGCCCAGGGTGGGTACTCAGGACTGTTTGTTGAATGACTGGATGAAGTTTAGGGCAGCAGAATCGTGGAATGAAGTAGTCAGAAGGGGTCCGGGAGATCATCGAGGGAAAATCCACACCTGACCAGTGGAAAACTTGTCTCACACACAGACACACACACACACACACACACACACACACACACACACACACACCAGCAAAAGTGAAGGATTCATACCTGGGGAAATGTTCTGGGCTCTTTCTGTCCCTTCTTCTATAATCAATCCAAGGTCAAATCACTTTTTCTGCCCCCAGAAATTTAGGAGGGGGTAGGCTCTCCCAAATGCAAATCAACACAGACTTTTCTTCTTTTCTTTCCAAAGCTGGGAGGTGAGCAGATGCAAAGTCCCTGTCCATGGAGCTGGCTGGTGGCCCCAGCCTGTCCCCACCCGACCTTAGGGGCAGAGGGAGGCAAAGGGAGAGTGGACGTGGCCTGCACGGTCTGGAGAAGCCCCAGAGAAGGGGCACCCAGGCAGAGGAGGAGCTATGGGGGTTGGGGGGCTGGCTTGGACTCTCAGGGCCAGGCAGCCCCTCCTTCCCCTTCCTCCTCACCCCAGGGCTCAGGTTTCAGAAAGGCCTGGATAGGTCTCCACCCCTTTGCAGGGCAGCCAAGCATCCCTGATCTCCTGTGACAGCCCCATCCAACCCTTAGTCCTGTTGCCTGGGGAGTCCCCTGACCCACGTACCACCTGAGGGTTTGGAAACATGGTTGCAGGAGCCAGACTGTACACAGTGGGCTTCCCACGTAGGCAGGGCCTGTGATTTTATAGCTGGTTTTTGCCTTACTACGGTTCCCCTTGAGTTCTGGTACCTTTGGAGATTCTGTAGTTAAAGGTGACAGGAAGTGACATGTAGCTTATTCTATAGTTTGTAGCTTCAATAAAATGCTGTGCTGGAATTCCGCACCTTCTGGCTGGAACCACAGAGCTGGAGGGATCCTTGAGGCCCCAAAGGATAGTTCCCAAACGTGGCTGTGCATCCCATTGCCCCCAAGGGCACGTTTAAAAATATATATACAGATTCCTGCCCCCACCGCTTCTGCCCCAGAGATTCCCATCCAGCAGTTCAGGGAGGAGGTCCCCCTAAAAGTATATTTCTGAAAAGCCCCTGAGGCTCAAACTTGTTTGGGGACCAGGGGTCCAGCTGAAACTATTTATGGTACAGGAGTGGGACCAAGGTCAAGACCAAAAAACAAAGACACAGCACAAGCACCTCTCGGGACTTAGTTTCCTGGCTCTCAGGCTTGAACTTGCTTCCCACTATTTTGGGGAAAAAGAAAACTCTGATGGGAGGTCTGCCATCACTCTGCTCCCATCCCTGCTTTCCTCCTGCCTCTTCCTTCCTCCTCTGGCCTGAGGAACTGCTCCCCCGCAGTCCAGACCCCATCTCCTTCTGCCTTCGCAGGGACCTCCCTCTCGCCATCTGCACGGCTTCTTTCTTCCATAGCCAGCTGCTCTTTCCCAACCGAATTCTTCTATCTTCTAAGCATACTCAGCTCTCTGTCCTTAAAACCAAACAAGGGAAAACTCTTTTAACCTGTGTTGGTTGGGTCTTAGGTAGAAATGGCCAGGCCCTGGTATCCCTGCCATGCTCTATCACTGGCTGGGAGATGCCTGGGAAGAGTGTGGTCTTGACTCAAATGCTGCAGTCCATCCAGGAGGCGCTAGACTGGAGGCTGTCAGCTGACTGCATTCCTCACAGCTCCTCAACAAGTTTTCTCCAGGGCAGAGCAGTGCTTCTGCATTCCCCACTCCCCCAGTTAATGCCCACCTCTCCTCTCCATCACAGTCAAACTTCTCTAAAGAGCTGTCCGCGCTCACATCTCCCCTTCCTGACCTCTCCCTTACTTCAGCTTGCTCCAGTCTGCCTTTGGTCCTCACCACTCCAGTGAGGGAACTCTTCCTAAGGTCCCCACTGATCTCCGTGTCATGAGATGCAAAGGACAAATTTCATTCCTTGTTTTAGTGAGAATATGAGCTCTGGTACAGTAACAGAGAGAACCTGTAGTCATCACTTTTTGCTGTGATAACATGCAGAACAAACAACGCCTAAGTTGCAATGGCTTATAGCAGTAATTACTTTCTTTCCATGGTTCTGCATGTTGGCTGCAATGGCTCTTGTTCAGACTGTGGGTTGGGTGCAGGTCTGTTCTATGTGTCTCTCATTCCAGGACCCAGGAAAGGAACAGCAGTTACCTGGGGAATGCTCCTCCAAAGCAGAAACCCAAAGACCAAGCAAAACTGTGCAAGCACATTTAAAGCCTCTGCTTAGGCATGATACACATCCCATCTGCTCATGTTTTATTGTCTAAAAGCAAGTCACATGGCCAAGTCTGTGATCTATCAGTGGAGCAGGGAAAATATACACCTCCCAGAAAAGGGAGGAGGAGAAAGGATGAATATTTGTTGAGCAGTACTATAACCCACCAGAAAATAACAGACTTCAACAATATCCAATTGTATTTTTCTGTCTCACTTATAAGTCCTAAGGGTCTAGATTACTTCTCTCTTTTTGCTCTGCCATGCTTAATACGGAGCTTCCTTCTCATGATCCAAGAGAGCTGCTCCAGCCTCTGCCATCAAGCTTTTCTTTCAGCCAATATGTCCGTCAGATCAGGCTTTCCCAGAAAACCCCCAACAGATATCCACTAAAGTCTAGCCTCATCCAAATACCATAGACTGTGTAGCTTAAACAACAGAAATTTATTTTCTCAACAGTTCTGGAGGCTGGAAAGTTCAAGATCAAGATTCTGGCAGGGTTTGGTTCCTGATGAGGACCCTCTTCCTGGTTTGCAGTTGGCTGCCTTCTGATGTGTCTTCACATGGAAGGGGAGGACACTCTTTGGGGTCTCTTCTTCTAAGGACACTAATCCTATGGGATCACAGCTCCACCCTTATGATCTCATTTAATCTTAACTACCCGCCAAAGGCCCTATTTCCATATAGAGTCACATTTGGGGTTAGAGATTCAACATGAATTTTGGAGGGACATACTCAGTTCATAACACAATGAAAAGGGAAAGAAAGAAGAAACAGACGGCATACTCCTGCTCCTTCCTTCAAGGGGATGACCACAACTCTTCTGCTCAGTCTCATAGCTAGAACGTCTCGTCATGGCCACAGCCCAAGTCAGAATTCTTTTACTGCAAAGAAGGGAGAGCAGATACCAGGGGACAACTACAGCTGCTTCATTGTCTTTGTATTACTTGATATCTCAGCAGCGTTTGATATTCTGTCACTGATGGTGCTTTTGGCTACAAGTAATGGAAAACACAAATCAAAGTCACTCAAAAAGGGTTTTATCCTACTTAAGAAGTCCAGAGGTGAGGTGACCAGATAGCTCGTTAGAGCATGGTGCTGATAACACCAAGGTTGCCAGTTTGATCCTCACATGGG